TATGACAGCCAATGTGACGTAGCAGTCAGGGCTTCAGAGCATGGGAGAGGCTGCAGGTGTGTGGGGGGTGGAAAGCTGAAGAGTGAGGGGGAAATAAAGGTAGGTGGATGGTTGGCTGGGAAGGAGATAGGGTTGCCAACTCCAGGTGGGAAATTCCTGGAGATGTGAGGGATGGAGCCTGGAGAGGGTGAGGTTTCAGGAGGTGTGGGACCTCGGACAGGTACAAAGCCATAGACTCCACCCTCCAAACCAACTATTCCCTTCTGGAAAACCATCGTCAATCTCCAGGTGAGGGCTGGAGACCACTCAAAATTACAACTGCTCTTTAGGGTAGCAGAGATCAGTTCCTCTGGAGAAAATGGTAGACTCAGTGTCATTATACCCTGCTGAGGTCGCCACAGCAAATTGACACTGAGTGTCCAAGGCCAGGGCATTCGCCCAGAGCCTCTTTCTAGTGGTCGTTGTATTTATTTCCACAACGGGCCTTTTTCCTAGTTTACAATAAAATAATTAAAACATATAAAATGCTGCTAAAACCAGTTAACAATGATGCACTAAGTGCTCGTATTGTTGTTGGTGGATCAACGGTGGCGATCATATTAGTTCTTTCTACTTATAAGCGGTTCCTAGGTTTACTCCAGGAGTCTTTCAAGCGGCTAGCACAGGCTGATATAGATTCCAGAGACAGCAGGGCTTCCTGTCCAAGTTGTTGATGATGTTCAATAGTGGTGGCGGCTCCAAAAACCTAGCGGAAGAGCTCCGTTTTACAGGCCCTGCGGAACTGTAAAAGGTTCCGCAGGGTCCTAATCTCTTCTGGGAGCTCGTTCCACCAGATGGGGCCACCACTGGGAATGCCCTGGCCCTGGTTGTTGATAGCCTGGCCTCCTTAAGACTTGGGAGGGCCAATCGGTTCTGGGCCCCTGGATGCAGTGCTCTCTGGGGAATATGTGGGGGAAGGCAGTCCCTAAGATACGTAGGCCCCTGACCATAAAGGGCCTGTGAGATGGGTATCTGCCCTTGTTTGGAGCTGTGCATGGAAGTAGCCCATCAGCACAGGTGTCATCCTCCAGAGGTACAAACGGTGCGCCCTCAGGCAGTTTTGGGCACAGGGGGAAGGCTGAAACTGAAACTCCTACTCTCCCCCATCTCATGGTCCAGATCCAAACCACAGCCATGCAAACTCAGGAAAAAAAAGTTCCCCTGCTCCTCACCTCCAACTGTCGGAGTTGAAGTCAGACCAGGGGAACTCAGACCCCTCAGACCGAGAGTCACCAACATGGTGCCCTTGGGCGATATCGTGCCCGCTGACACCTTTTAGAAAGTGAGCAGGGCCCAGTGGGGCTTTTGCCCAGCAAGGCTTTTAATTGGCTGTGAAGATTAAAAAAAACAAATACATTACTTTGGAAGCATCTGCCACCACAGCTCAAGGATCAGTTATGGTGTGACTGACGGTAAGCTGAGAGAGCCACCGTGTGGCTGGCTCCGCCTCCTGGGGCAGCCATTTTGTGGCTATGCCCACCATACTGTGTCAGAATTCCAAAAGTGACCACAGGATCAAAAAGTTTGGGGACCCCTGCCCTTGATATTACAAACTGTAACATGTAGTTTTGTTCTAAGAAATGGGATTTATCTGGAATGATGTAATTCCTTCTAGTTTTGTATCCAGAACATAACCAAAAGAGGAGCTTTGCTCATAAGTCACACTCTCTAGGTAGAGTGAAACAATTTTACAAACCCTGAAAAAAGAAGAAGAAGAAGAGATTGGATTTATACCTGGCCCCACTGATGGACCTCCTGATGGCACCTGGTATTTTTGGCCACTGTGTGACAGAGTGTTGGACTAGATGGGCCATTGGCCTGATCCAACATTGGCTTCTCTTATGTTCTTATGTACCCCGCCCTTCACTACCCAAAGGTGTCTCAGAGCGGCTTACAATCTCCTTTCCCTTCCCCTCCCCACAACAGACACCCTGTGAGGTCGGTGGGGCTGAGAGAGCTCTTGACAGAAATTGCTCTTTTTTCAAGAACAGCTCTTATCAGAACTATGGCTTGCCCAGGTTCATCCAGCCAGGTGCAAGTGGAGGAGTGGGGAATCAAACCCGGTTCTCCCAGATTAGAGTCCGCACACTTAACCACTACACCAAAAGGCCACGTTTAGTAACAAGTTAGGCATCAGAATCCCTTTTTTTTTCCTTCTCTTTCTTGCTCATACTCATGAAGCGCGGGCAAATACCTTCGGCTTCCATGTAGGAGATCTGAGAATCCGTCTGGGTGTTCATTTCGTCCTCTGTGGATTCATCCGGGAGTCCTGCTAATCAATTGAGGATTTGGAGAAATCACATCAGTGTGATGCTTATGTGAACATAAATGTAGTTTTTAAGACATCAAAATGTAATTGCACATCTGAAAAACTTACACATGCACATATGCACACATGCACACCAGTAATTAGGATAGGGGTATGCAACAGCAGATTTTCTGGGATCATTGAGAGGTTTGAGCACACCGAAGGGAGGGGCCATGGCCAGCCCTCCCTCTGAGCTGTGGAGTCTTGTGAGAGAGAAAAAATTCTACTTTGTCAGTTCCTGGCATTAAAGTTGTGAGCGAGCAACCTGGCTACTGCATAGAATGTTCAGAGTTGGGAGGGACCTTGCAGGTCATCTAGCCCAACCCCCTGCACTCTGCAGGAGCAGAACTGAAAGATAGCCCTTACAACATACCCGAAAGATGGTCGTCCAGCCTCCGCTTGAAAATGTCCCGCAAAGGAGCATCCACCACCTCCCGAGGCAGTCTGTTCCACTGCTCAACCACTCTTACAGTCAATACTCCCTCCAAGCTGTGAGCAAAAATGCTACTTTGTGAGCTACTGGCATTAAAGTTGTGAGCGAGCGATTTGGCTCCGTTTGCTCTGGAGCCCTCCTTCCTGAGCTGAGACAAAAATGTGTGAGCTGGAGGCTAAAACACTGTGAGCTAGCTCACACTAACTCAGCTTAGAGGGAACACTGGCCATGGCTCTGTGGTAGATCATCTGCCTGGAATGGAGAAGGTCCCAGGTTCAATCCCCGGCATCTCCTGTTGAAAGGACCAGGAGCAGGTGATGTGAAAGATTATATTACATTACATTACACTTTCAGCTTATATACCGCTCCTTCCCGAGGGCTCGGAGCGGTTTACAGAGAACATTTAAACCATTCTAACTAGGGCCACAGTGCAAGGGGAGAGATGAGTGCCTACCAGGCACCCGCAGCAGGGTTTTTTCTTTGTTGGTCTTTCGTGGTGGGTTCTTTCCGTTTCAAGGCGACGGTGTCTCGGCGGAGGTCTTTCTCCCCATAGCGACTCCTTCTGGAGTAGTTCTCACGGCACGCGACTATGCGACGGCTGTAGCAACTGGCCTCCATCCCATTGGCTCCGACCGTGCCATGTCGTCACATCGCCGCATCTCCTGGACCAATCTCTGCCTGGGTCGCTCGTTGCTTGATGCCGGATTACCGCCATGTTTGCCGGATCACCACCCGTCACCACCGCTCAGCCGCCGCCACTGCTGCACACCAATCCATTGGAAGGAGGGTGCCCCCCGCTCCTAGGAGCGGCTACCCATTTATCTACGTGCCTAGGGCTTTCGAACCGCTGGGTGGGCGGGAGCTGGGACAAGGACCGGGAGCTCACCGCGGACGCGGTGGGACTCCAACAGCCTTGTGGCTGTTCGGTGGTAGATTACTGCAGGCTTTTACAGCTTGCGCCACCGCTCCCTTTTCCTAACAACCCAGAGAGCTGCTGCCAGTCTGGGTAGACCATAGGGGACCTTGATGGAGCCATGGTCTGAGTCACTATTAGGGAGGTCCATGAATGTATGAGAAGTTAGAGACCCAGCCTCCGTCTACTGTTGGACAACCTAAAATTCCCCATCAGAGAATTCCTCCTGTTAGCCCGCACTTATGACTGACACTTGGACTCTGTTAAAGAACAGATCTATAAACTGTGATCAGGCGTTGTGTGCTTATTTGGTGACCTTGGATCAATACTGTTATAACTGGAAGGTCAGATTCCTTTTTGCTTATGTCAGAGATTACGGCACTCGAACCGAATCATTTGCAACACCTATCGATTGAAAGTTGCGGTCCTTTCCCTCGGGCATCGAGGGCCAGCAGTGTTCCCTCTAAGCTGAGTTAGCTCATAGGTTTGGGTTTTTTTAGCCTCCGGCGCACATACTTTTGTCTTAGCTCAGGAAGGATGGCTCCAGAGCAGTGTTCCCTCTAAGCTGAGTTAGCATGAGCTAGCTCACAGTTTTTTAGCCTCCGGCTCACACATTTTTGTCTCAGCTCAGGACGGAGGGCTCCAGAACAAACTAATCTATGCAGCAGCCAAATCCCCTGCTCACAACTTTAATGCCAGTAGCTCACAAAGTAGAATTTTTGCTCACAGGGCTCCATAGCTTAGAGGGAACTTTGCTCCAGAGCAAACTAATTTATGTAGCAGCCAAATTACTCGCTCACAATTTTAATGCCAGCAGCTCACAAAGTAGAATCTTTGCTTACAAGACTCCAAAGCTTAGAGGGAGCGTTGATGACCAGGCAAGGGGAAAAGTGGGGTTTTGTAGCCCTCGGAACCCAAGACCCCACCTGGTTCATTATCAGTAAACTACAGAAAAACATACCAACTGGCTGGTCCTGTTCGCCGACAGCGTCAGGCGGTGGGTGGGGTTCTTGTGTCGCTTTGGAATGTTGGGATGAATCTAACAGGTAAGAGAAAGACAAAGCAGGCAATAATTCTGTATGGGTTTCCTACTGGACACAGTTGATAGACAGACTCCAACAGGAGTAGGGTCGGCAGGTCCCAACTGGCAACCGGCGGGGGATGGGGGGACTTACCAGGCACGGGAGGGAGGCCAAGGCTGTTGGAAATATGTGTGTTGCAAGGTCTAAATTCAGTCATCATATGGTTAATGTGTTTACCTTGTGTGCTATTGTTTACACTGACCTGGAAGGGAGCCTGGCACAAAGCCAATGGAGAGAAAGCCCGGGAAAATGAAGCCTGTTTACTAACAAACATTGGTTAATGTATTTAGGTGATTTCCTTCCAGGGTCAAGAAGAATCTCCATTACCAACAGTGTGGTCAGCCAGTCTGTTGTTGTACTTGTAACAGCAAGGATGTAGTCTTAAGTGTTTTCGAAAGCAAGTAGATAAATAGGTACCACTTCAGTGGGAAGGTCACAGCGTTCCGTGGGCCTCGGTGTTTAGTCATGCCGGCCACATGACCACGGAAACGTCTTCGGACAGCGCTGGCTCTTCGGCTTGGAAACGGAGATGAGCACCGCAACCCTAGAGTCGGATTCGACTGGCTTTCGAGCAAGGGAAACCTTTCCCTTTCCCTTTAGAAATAAAGATTTTTACATAGAAAGAATATGCCTCCAGGGAACTAAGATCCATTGCAAGCTCTGAATATCTAACTATTTTTACCAAATTTTCCAACACAGGCTACATCACTGTTGATCCGGCGATGTACCGGAAGTGACATCATCACACTGTGCTGTTCTGGCAATGCTCTGGTATTTGGGCAAAAACTCTATGGTAAAAATGCCTTCTACTATATAGTCGACTCCTCCCCCAAATACCAGAGCATCGGTACGATGTCAGCAACATGATGACATCACTTCCGGTACAGGCTGGAAGTGATGTCGCTATGTCACCAGTGACATAGCCTGGGACTCCCTCCTGCTCCTGGTAAGTCCCCCCCACCGGCCAGCTGATTGGTTGCGGGGGGATCCTCTGCTTCCAGCTTGGGGGGGGGGGTTTGCTACCCTAAACGGGAGTGAATTTATTTCAAACGATACTAACACAGTCACACGTTATGTTAAGTAATTCTTAACACAATTTTGATACGAACGTATAAATCGATATACTCGGGTGGCAAGGCTGAGCCAATAGATCAAGGAAACAGATTTTTAAAAAAACAACACAAAACCCCTTGAGTGATTAAAAAGTGTTCCCAAGTAATGGGGAGGACGTTTACAAAAAGGGGGGGGCAGGTCCTTTTCTGTGATGGCCCCTTACTGGTGGAACGAGCTCCCGGATGACATCAGGGCCCTGCGGGACCATTTAGAATTCCGCAGGGCCTATAAAATGGAGCTTTCGATTAGGGAGCCGCCTTTTAACATCAAGGCCCTGGTCCCAACATCAACATCGGCAGCAACTTGACAAACAAGAGCCTGGCAGAAGCCTGGACTATGGCGGTAGGTGACCGTTCCAGTGTTGAGAGAACGCCACCATCTCTTATTAACACCTATGTTCTGAGAATGTATGATTTCATATGCTGTGATTTTAATTTAATTCTGGTGTTTTAACATATTCTGGTGTGCATATATATATATGGGTCATTTCCTGCAGGAGTGCACAGGAGCGGAGCTCCAGCAGTAAGGAGCCCAGGGGGCCGGGAACATGCAACAAGCCCCACCCCCTGCTCCCAGCAGCCCTCAGTCAGAGCAAGAAGCAGCCAGGTAAATTGCAGAGCCCCCGCGGCCCCCGGTCCAAAACAGTCCAGTGGCACCTTTAAGACCAAGTTTTATTCAGGTACAAGCTCTCCCTCCTCTGTGAGGACAGATCCACACGTTCCCCCCCCCCCAATAGCTAGCAATCCAAAATGGTCCAGTGGAGCCTGAGCGGTGGGTGTTGCCTTCTGACACATGTCCGGTGATGTCAGGGGTTGGTGTGGCATATGCAAATAAGTGATGCTAATGAGTTATGCTAATAAGCTCCTGCACCTCTTTTTCTATAAAATGACCCCTGGGTGGCTCTAACTTAAGTGGGTCTAAGTCCAGTGTAGGGTTGCAAGCCCCCAAGTGGGAGTGGGGGACCCCCCAAATTGGTGGGCTACCTCTCGGCACAACATCCCCAGTGTGATGACAACATATGGAAGTGATGTTATCATACGGGGGATGCTGCATGGCGACACTCTAGTGTTTTGGGCAAAACTCTAAGGTAACCATAGAGTTTCGCCCAAAATACTAGAGTTGCCACACGGCATGCCCAGTGTGATGATGTTATTTCTGTGTGATGTCATCAAGCTGGGGATATTGTGTACGGTGACATCACACACACCCCGCACTCTCGTTGATTTTAATTTAATTCTGGTGTTTTAACGTATTCTGGTGTGTGTATAGATGATAGATAGATAGATAGATGATGATGATAGATAGATAGATAGATAGATAGATAGATAGATAGATAGATAGATACATGATAGATAGATAGATAGATAGCAATGCGGCAGAGGAATGATGTAGGGGGGATGTTAGTGTATAATGAAACTACATCTAGAGTGCTAGACCTTCCTCTAACCTGTCCTTCTTAATGATCTTTGATGACTTTTCTTTGGTCTTTTGGTAATGAACTGTATTTTTCAGTTTATAGACTTGAGCAGTATAGTCCTTTCTGCCCCAGACAACCAACGCCCCTCCCTTATCAGCTGGTTTGATGATAATGTCTTTTCTGTGCTCTGTTTTCCCCCCCCCCAATAGCTAGCAATCCAAAATGGTCTAGTAGAGCCTGAGCGGTGGCTGTTGTCTTCTGACACACTTCCGGTGATGTCAGAGTGTGTGGCATATGCAAATAAGTGATGCTAATGAGTTATGCTAATGAGCTCCTGTACCTCTTTTTCTACGAAATGACCCCTGGGTGGCTCTAACTTAAGTGGGTCTAAGTCCAGTGTAGGGTTGCCAGACCCCAAGTGGGAATGGGGGATCCCCCAAATTGGTGGGCTTCATTCTGCCGCTGACCTACTGCTTGGCACACCCATCTCTCGGCACAACATCCCCAGTGCGATGACAACATATGGAAGTGATGTCATCATACGGGGGATGCTGCATGGTGACACTCTAGTGTTTTGGGCAAAACACTTAGGTAACCATAGAGTTTCACCCAAAATACTAGAGTTGCCACACAGCATGCCCAGTGTGATGATGTTATTTCTGCGTGATGTCATCAAGCTGGGGATATTGTGCATGGTGACATCACACACACCCCGCACTCTCGGAGAGCTCTCCCCCCACCCCCCGCCGGGGAGCAAAGAGGATCTAGCAACTCAACTCCGATGAAAGAGCTGGTTAATTTGAAGGAAGAATTCAAACCTTAACATTGTCTTCATTCAAAAAAACCCAACAACTTGTATTTTCACAAAGCTTGACCAGTTTTTATTAACTTATTCCCTGCTTTACTTCGCTTACCTATGTGTAACTTAAGTCCGATATCACAGCCCTGTTTGGTTATTTTTCCTGTTCGAGATCTGATTTTTTTAAAAAAATAATATTGCGTTTTTAAAATATCCTAACAGACTGACTCTGGGATTACAAGACTACTAATGTCATATTTTAAAATGGTTCTCCAAATGGGACAGTACCCAATTATTGTTTGCTTATTTATCCCCCACTTTATTTCTCAGTGCCAAGTGGCTTACAACGTAAGACCATCAGAAGAGCCCTGCTGGATCAGACCAGTGGTCCATCTAGTCCAGCATCCTGTCTCACACAGCGGCCAACCAGTTCCTCTGGAGGGCCAACAGCAGGGCAGAGAGGCCGAGGCCTCCATAAGAACATCAGAAGAGCCCTGCTGGATCAGACCAGGGGTCCATCTA